TAAACCGTCAGAGGACTGGAGCTGACATTCACCGGAGTTGATGACGCATTATAATTCTGACGTGAAAACTGGCGTCGTCCCTCCCTGCGCATTTTAAAATGCTAAATAAATAAGTAAATGACTAGCCTAGCATACTCAGGTGGGCTTGCGACTGAAAATTTCCAAAGCCCGGTTAATTGTTTCTTCGATAATGGAGTTTCTCCGACGCACTATCCTGGCAGATAATTAGAAAACAGCACACCTGGAAGCAGCGGCCCAATTAGCAGCACCTGCTTCCTGTGACTGGTGCTGCATTGATGAATTGACGGAAAAATCGGAAAAATGAGTTGCCACAAAAAAATTCACCTGAACGCCCCCTCAATTCGCAACAACAAGTCGGAAAGTTGGCGAAAATTTTGCTGCACGAGTTGCCGTGTTGACTACACAGAAACACGGAACTACACTCAGTTCCCAGTAAACTTAGATAGTTGCTGTCCAAGTAGAGTGACCTAAATTAGTTAGGAAAGCTGTTTATTAGCTTTTATCAGGTATGACAACAGTTTAGAAGCTAGTTTAAGGGGGTGTACTGGTACAAAAATAAGTCTTGGACTAAACCACTTTGAAATATGAAGCTTCAAACTGTTGTTTAAATACTATGAGCAATAAAATACATTTCTTAAACCACATGAACACACCAAGGTCCCAACTCGGGAAATGGGACCATCCGAGGAGCACGTGAACCACACACACCAGAAAATGAGCCATAATTACAGTATGTCCTCTGTGCAGTAAAAAAAAAAAATCATAAAACAGGAACATTTTTCCAATCTAAAATTTTGCACACATCTCTCTTATCTCCCCATCTTTAAGTGCATATTACCAACACCTCAAAAATATGTAGGCCTATCTTTTGGTGAATATTTTAATGTATCTGTTAACAAATACAGTGATTAATTTTATCCTTCAAAATGCATCCCCATATGAATAAAAAGGACATTTGTAGCTGCAGCTTCTGTGATGAATGTTAAAAAACAGACCAGCACTTTTTTACTGCAACTGTAATGATTGTGACATCTATTTAATAATTCATTCATTTTCTGTAGCCGCTTATCCTGTTGGAGGCTGGAGCCGATACCAGCTGACATTGGGTGAGAGGGAGGGTACACCCTGGACAGGTCGCCAGACTATCACAGGGCTGACACATAGAGACAGACAACCATTCACACTCACATTCACACCTACAGACAATTTAGAGTCACCAATTAACCTAACTCGCATGTCTTTGGACTGTGGGAGGAAGCCGGAGTAGCCAGAGAGAACCAGGTACTCTACAAGGAGGGGCTTCCCTATTTAATCTTGTAGCTTTTGAGTCTTTTTTTTAATGTCAAAATCATAGTCATGAATAGATTCCCCTGTGTGTCTTACAATGAATTGATGCAGTACATTTAAATATGTAGCCAATGTTAAATAATAGAATCATTTATTCTCCATGACTATCTTGTATTGGTGTATATACAGTATATGCAACACTATACAGATGTTGATCTTCTTAAAGGAAAACCAAACTGTTGTATTTTCAGTATCAAACCATCACTGCCTCTGAAAAGTTTGTGGTTTACTCATTCACAAAGGACGGCAGATGTAGTCAGCTTGGATTCACATGAGTTACAATGGATTCCACTGCTGACCTAGTTTTATAGCAAAAAAGCAACATGTCCTTAGAAACTTCCCGAACCACTCCTGCAGCATAATCCACATCTCCACTGTCTGTCTGCATGCTCAGTGTGCTCCAAATACTCACATTAGGAGTATTTGGAACATGAATGAAGTGAATGAACAACATTATAATTGCCAGCGGTCACACTCCAAATCTAACAGGCCTTTTCCACGGCAGATATTATGACTTGTTGTAGCAGGCGAAGCACAGGTGTTGCTAATAACATTAACGATGAGTTGTGTCCCAGCATGCAGAGATGCAGGATGCTGAACCTCCAGCAGCTAAATGGAATTCAGGCATTTTATTTATTTATTTATGTACCGCGCTTTTCCCACTGTGACATGTCAAAATGTCCTCTGTGAAAAAGGCATAGACTGCATAAATTCTCACCTCAGGTGAACTCCCAAACAAAAGTCACACTATTCATGAGGAGACTTCAGTTTTTCAAAGCAGTATTAACAACTATCACACATACTGTATGACCCAGTGTCAACCACATGCAAATAGCAGTCAGGAAACAAGTTAGCATTAGTCTCGTATGATAACTGACACAAGCTATTGTGCAAAAAACAAATAGGAAATAGCTGAATGAATACAGAAAAGAACACAAATATTTTGTTTCTTATCTAAGGGAACCAATTTTTCATCTGACCTGTAGGGGGTGCAATATTCCTTCTTCAAAGCACACATGTAACTAAGAACATTAATCAAGGCTGCATTTCCTATTGTTACAGTAAGCCAGTGTATATTAACTAACCATGTCCTTTAGGACACACACCAGAACTGAACATTACACCTGTGTTTTTCCAGCTATGAGGAGTAAAATTAACACAGCATACCGTTTCTCCAAGTGAAACCTGAAAACTCCATTTATGTAAATGTAGCCATATAGGATTTCACTGGTGGAACATATTTCGGTCCCTTACTAAAAATAGGATTGGGCAATGGTGCATTGTTGCCTCACAGCAAGAGGGTTCCTGATTTGAACCTCAGGTAGGGAGTATGAACAGTGGGGTGGGGGAGCCCTTCTGTGCGGAGTCTGCATGTTCTCCCTGTGTCAGCGTGGGTTCTCTCCGGGTACTCTGACTTCTTCCCACAATCCAAAGACATGCAGGTTAATTGGTGACTCTATCTAAATTGCCTGTAGGTGTGAATGTGAGCGTGAATGGTTGTCTGTCTCTAAAGCCCTGTTTCCTGGTATGGTACCTTTGGAACCAAAAGTAACCCTTCAGACATGGTACCTAGACCCTAGTACCCTAAAATGTGGGCAAGGTTGTTGTCATTTACTGCTCCGTTCAGCACTCAATGTATTTCCTCATTACCGGTGACAAAGATGGAAGTCTGCACCTCGTTTATCGTCCACAGAACAAGGCTGCATGCCAACATTTTCGGAACAAAATAAAACAGGCTGCAGTGAGAGTCTCTCTCCATGGGATATTTAAAAATAGTGGGTTTGTGCATTTCATCCTTCTCAGGCAAGCTCAGGGGTTTAGTGTTGCCGTAGCCCATGATATGATCTTCCGCCATGCTTTTTTTCTCCAAGTGTGGATTGGGATTTATGCAGTTCACATAATCTGATTGAGATTAATATACAGTACAGGCCAAAAGTTTGGACACACCTTCTCATTCAATGCGTTTTCTTTATTTTCATGACTATTTACATTGTAGATTCTCACTGAAGGCATCAAAACTATGAATGAACACATGTGGAGTTATGTACTTAACNGCCTTCAGTGAGAATCTACAATGTAAATAGTCATGAAAATAAAGAAAACGCATTGAATGAGAAGGTGTGTCCAAACTTTTGGCCTGTACTGTATATAAATGCTAGTGGAACTAGTGGAATGGTCAGTGTTGTCACATTGAAATTTAAGGTGTGCTGATGGATTGACTACGTGAACTCATGCATTGAGTAACATTACAAGTTAACGTTCCACTGGATTCATTTTTTCTCAGACTACAGCTGCTGCAAGAGGCCGCAAAACATCTTTTCATTTTATACAGTAGTTACAGTTTACTAATATATGTAAAACTCAGCCCTGAGCAGAGTGACCATCTGCTATTGACCAGTCAACGGACTGCAGTGTTCACAGCTCCACCTTTTAGTGCCAGATCGGTGTGCCAGGTACCCCAACAGAGGGGTAACCAAATATGGGGACGGTACGGAACAGTTCTACTGGCACCATCCACAACTTTTCACAGTGGAGACAGAAAAAAAGGGTATTGCTCTGTGGAAACAGGGCTTATATGTTAGCCTTGCGATAGTCTAGCAACCTGTCCAGGGTATACCCCACCTCTCACCCAGTGTCAGCTGGTAGACTCCAGCCCTCCCAGGACCCCCAACAGGATAAGCGGTTACAGAAAATGAATGAATGAATAGTATCCTTGGTGTTGTCTTGTCCTGGTTCCAAAGGATACATTACAGTAAAGTGATGTAATTTCCCGAACTTACCAGACTTTTCTCGCTGTTCTGTTATTTTCCTGTTCCTGTGTAGTCATTATATCCACATTACTGGTGATTATTTGTCAAAAATCTCATTGTGTAAATGATTGGAGAAAGCACCAATGGTCAAACCTACAATATCTTTGCAATATCGATATCAAGGTATATGGTAAAAAAAAAATATATTGGGATATTTCTCCAGCCAGCCCAAACTTAAAAGTAGCAATACACTCAATTTAACTTAAATAAAGGTACTTGTATTCTTGGTAAGATGCACTTAAGGTATCAAAAGTTAAAGTCCAAATGACTGAGTTATTATCACTGTGCATTAGTGTGTAAGTACAGTAGCATTTTACAGGTGTTTTTGGTTCAAGCGTCAAATGAAAATGCTCAAGTACACAAGACGTACCTCATACTTGTAATTAAGTACAGTACTTGAGTAAATGTAATTAGTTACATCCCACTGTAAGCACTGCCCTGTAGATGCTTCAGGTTATAGTGATGTACCATTCAGAGGCATCAGCGTGCAAGCTGCCAGGTGCTGCCAGTGATAAATAATGATAACAGTAACAACTGTGGTGATGGCAGATGATATTCTCTAACATTGATGTTAAGATTGTTCAAAGGCTTCTAATGAGGACGTCGGCCTTCAGCACTTAATTGAAGGACAATTTGGCTGTTAAATCCGGCATGGTGGGAAACATCCCAGCGTGCTGCTGCTCTTCGAGCTGGCCACCAAGCGGCCGGGCTGCGAAGTGCAGCTCTGTGAGCGCAGCATCTCTTTGCCATCCCCGGTCTCTTCCTTCTCCTCCCTCTCTCTCCAGCCGTCGCCGGGAGCAGTGTGTGTATGTGTGTGTGAGCGAGTGTGCGCGCGCTGGTATAATCTGACAGCACGCTGGGGCTGCGTTTCCCAAGAAAAGCTCAGCTCTCTCAGTTTTCTGCCCGTCTTATTGCCGCTCTCATTGTCTTTGCCGACAGTGATAAAGAGAGCAGGTACCATCTGTCCATTCCGCCAATTTATTACGAGTTGCCTTTTTTTGTTTGCTGCTCTTCACAGATGTTATGTCAACACTTTTTGGGTGGTGGTGGTGGTGGTGGTGAGGTGGGAGGGAGGGAGGGGGGACTCCCGGTTCTAATGGAATTTGTTGTGGCTGTTTTTGGTCTCTTCTCTCTTTCAGTTCAACCACGGGCCTGTTTTTGGAATAAGAAAAGCATTGCTGTTTTCTGACTTTGAGAGAAGAAAGAAGGGACTCCTCTGGAATTTCCTAAGGATTTTATTCGGACAGCCCCGGTAAGTGGACATCCTCACATCATAGAAAAAAAAGCTTCATGATTAAGAATGCATGCAGCTATTTGATATGGAAACATTAAACAAGCGCACCCTTCATTTATCCCATTCTTCTATTTTAATTACAGTTACCGGGGCTTTGCATTCTACCGCCTGGGTATATAGTAAGTAGTATAGACTTTTTTCTGCATCCTGTGTTTGTGAATTGCAGCTGAAAGACGCTCTTTGTGTATTTATGTGTGGAATTAAGTGTCGGTTTGGTGTCCACTCCAAGTTATGTGTCGTGCCGCGATTTGAGTAGGTGCCCAGGGCGCATATTTCTGCATATCTTGAAGCTGCGTTATGGATAATGTAGCGCGCAGCGTGCACCGGTCTGCTGCTCACCGTTACGCTCCAGATGGTGGCGAGATATTTACAGATTTCTCTTATTATTATCGTCATTTATAACACACACACTGTGCTTACCCCCCCCCCCCCCCCCCCCCCCCCCCCCCTCGAGGATGCACGGGCACGCACGCAGCCATTTCTGGGATATGCAGTGTGGGACGTGTTGAGAAAGTTTGCGTAAATGTTTGGTGCTAGAAAACTGAGGCGGGTTGAATGGTTTTGCCTTTTGAGCGTGTGCGTGTGTGCGCGTGCGTGGCGTGCCCGAGTGCTCCTGACTCAGGTGATGTAGACGGTGGGTGGGCTGTGACTCACTCGGTTTACCCATTTTGCTGCTGTTATCTGACAGGCTTTGATGTCAGATTTGACTGGTGATTGACAGTGGATCATGCGCAGTAGCGTGTCAGCAGAGGCCCGTGTGTGTGTGTGTGCCTTCTTTCCCGCCCTCCATCACTGCCAGCTATATTTGGAAGTTACCAAATACCATGATTTATACAAGCCCTTTCCTCTGTGTTAAAGAGTATTTGTCAGACTACTACTGACAAGTGATATAGCCAATTACCCCGTGATTTGCAGCCATATTTTGCAAAAAAAAAAAAAAAAGGAGAGCCTCTAAAAAGGCAAGATAATGAACTGAAAAGTTTGGGCGCCTTGGTATTTTGTAGCAAGCCGAGCTGAGGAGAAGCAAATGAGGGCAAGGACAGCTCGCACAGCCAGAAGATGTGTCTTCCCTGGCTCGAGCGGAGTGACAGAGGGCTAAGTGAGCATGACCATAGAGGAGAGGTAATAGCATTACGGTCTGCCAGTCATGAGGCAGAGCAAGAGATAGGGTGCTGTTGCATTTCAAGAACTAAATGGGAAACACACAAGGACAGGAAAGAGTGACATGAGGACACGCAGAATTAACACCCTCATATGGTGGTCACATGTTTTAGTTATGATAATCAGTGTCTTGTGGTGTGAGGTCAGCGTTGTTGGGCTGTGATTTAGCATTGCTTCACTTTGACTGAGATTTGCTGATGCTATCTATCTATCTATCTATCTATGTGTATGTGCGTCTGTCTTGCTTAAAATAGCAAGGCACAAGAGGATATAGAAACCCAGTGGACATCATAAAAAATCTGATTGTGTTCCTATGATAAACAATGAATAAATAAATGTAACACTGCCAACACCAATGTGAAAATAAACGAGTCCAGCAGAGACACCAACAGGAGACAAATACACATCCTCCTCCTATTTCAAAGGGCCGCTTGCTCGCACAACAAACTGCAACATGACGAAATGCTGAAACACAGCACTCCTTTAGGCTAGTTATCCCTGTGTGTAAAAAGACGCTTCTGAGCACAAAAGTTGATTTGAATCATTTGCTGTCAGGCGGCAAGTTTCTCGCAAAGCTTTTCAAGGATTAGTCCCAGGTAAGAATGTCCCCCCCGCCATCCGTTACCCAGCAGCAGTGCTCCCATTTTATAAACTGGCAACGTTTTTGCAATTTCCTTCCGTCTTCCTTTTGAGTGATACTCCCAAAACTACTCGCCAGGCCCACATCAATCACTGCTGGATGGGATTTGAGCAACAGCTAGGAGTAGTAAGCGGAGGGGAGACAGGTCTGCTTTCACACAGTCGCACTAGCTCCTCCATGGTGACCCCAAGAGCCGCAGCCGGCGGTGCCAGTTAGATAGCCGTATTTCTGCCAAAAAAAAAAAACAAAACTCTTTTTCTCCCATTAATTATGCTTTAACATGAGTTGCTGTAGTGCTGCTAGTGTTGACAACACACCCACTTTTCCTTTGCCTGCTGCACCTCCCTGGAGAGAAACAGGAGTAAGCTGTAATTATGGTTTATAAACTTCATCCAGGTGACATAATCGGGGCATGGCTGAGATGGCAAGGGGCTGTCATAACAGCTGCTAATGAATTTATAGCCGTTTTTCTATTGCAATTCACATTTCTCAGACTGTCTTACTGTATAGATATGTTTGCTGGATGTCACACGATGCAGAGTTTACACACACATAAGGATTTAAGGAATACAGGGGGGTGTACAGTATGAGAGGACAACACATTTAGTCCAATTCTCAGCCAAAAAAAGGCAGAAGCAGTGCACCTATGGAAGCAGCAGCTATATCATCCCTGTGTTTTCACTGCGAGGTACACCTTGATTGCGGTCCAAGGCTCAGCAAACTGAGTAGCCAACTCCCAGGGGCCGTTTTATAATGAGGATGCGCTGTCAGATAATTAGATACACCTGACGCAGGCGTTTTCAGGAAATTTTGATTCATCCCAAAATAAAATGTCTGTGCCTGCCAACATGAAAGCAGGGAGAAAAAAAAAAAAATCCCGCTGTCACATTGCCTCTCCTCTCATGGTGGCAATGTTTTATTTATTTATCCACATCTTAATGCTCTTGGATGAGGCGGGCTTCATTTTGTGCTAGTTGATGCGTTAGCTGCCAAAGTTTCTCGTCTCTTTTCTCATCCTATGCAGCCAAGACTCCCTTGGCTGCACAGTCAGAAGATACCATCTCATTCTGATTCACAGACAGTGATATGACAGGACATATCACTCCTCAGTGAGCTGTGTAAACATGCGTGTCACATAACAGCAGAGGTGGCCAGCCATGTGTGAAAAGCGCAAGTGTGTATAATTGTCATGAGATGTATATTACATGCATACACTGTATACAGCAAGCGATGAATGATTAACTGAATTCAATTCAGCACCTTGACATACACACTCAGACACATATTCATACACACGCCCACCCGCACAAACACAATCTTAAATATAATGCCTTTTTCTTAGCTGTTGATTAGAAAATGCTGCGTGAGATGAAACCCTCTTACCTGTGCTGTTTATTTATCAGGCACATGGCTCCAGTCATAAATCAGACTCTCATTAAGTTGTTTAACAACAACTTTTGCCTTCTGCGGGAGACATCGACGCTATTAAGGCTGATGTATATGATATAGTAGGACAGGGGAACCATTGCAGGCTGCTGTTACCTAATTAAGGTAGTGGGTTTTTTTCTTTTCATTTTCTACCATAGGCGTAGTGTAACATTAGAAAAATAGAAAGGAGTAATAAAGTCAGTGAACTGACTAGATACACAGCGATGTCTAGCTAAACTTTGCTATCATCCGCTAACATTAGCCACCATAAGCTACTCCTCATACCAGACTGACTGTAACTAACAATATAACTATAATTTGTAAGACAAAGATGTTATTACATCTTTCAGAAGTCACAGAGTTTTGCTGTAAAGGGGCTCTTTATGATATTCAGAGGTTGTCTGCACACGGCTCTCAACATGGCAACACATTTTCACTCTGACCTTGTCACATATCCCTGCTTGGTCGTGAACTTTCCACATGGACATTTGACATCCAGGGTAGCCTGGGTGCATCTCTTCTTGATGTTCTGGGATGGCATGTCAACTTCTGCTTGTTACATGCATTTGTCTTTTCAAAATACACTTCCATTTTCACAGGCAATGTCCAGTTTGCATACAGTCTCTTTCAAAATAAAAGTACTACGTCAGTACAACTGTGAATCCACGTTTTTTTTCCTTCAACAACAAACGCACATGGTTAGGTTTAGGCAACAAAAGCATGTAGTTAGGTTTAGAAAAAAAGAACAGGGTTTGACTTGACATTCATACGGGGTGTAAACACCAGCCTCCTGCCCTAGTTGGACTTTTTGCTCCCTTAACTTTAGTTGCTGTCCGCCTGTGTTTCCCCGACACAGTCTGGCACCATTGCACACTGATGGGACATGGCAATGTATCATGCTGATGTGAAAGGGCAGCTTTTTTCAGATTTGAAGTCACTGCCCCACCGTCGGTATTTGACGGTTTCTGTATGAAACTGGGTTGAACGTAGTGGTGACTGAGCAGGTGGCTAGCAGCTAACAGTGCAAACAGCATCAACAGTGCTGAAAGCATGAACTGTGCTAACAATAGCAACAATGCTGACATAGTTAATAGTGTTAACCAGGGAGGAACCAAGGAGGGTTGCTACGCTTCCACGATGACGCTGTCTCAATATCAGCTGTAAGTGTCGTATGAGTGCAGTGCGGAGTGGCAGCGATTAGCTAACCATTTGGATACAAACACAGCGACTCACATACATGCGTGGCCGGACCGTTTGTTCATTAGCTGATTGTAGAGATGGGACAATATATGATTTTATTATGGACTGCGATAAAAAAAAAAAATACTCCCAGTGAGTTGATCGTGGTGAATTTCCATTATCGGGATAATCATGAATATTGTGTCCAGCAGCAATGATACTGTTGGGCAACCAACAATAAAAGAGACTCTCTAAAAACAGGCTGCATACACATCAACGTAAGAAAACACAGATGATCCTAATTAAGCATCAACATATTTCATATTGAAAGATATGATGACATTTCAAATAGTTAAAAAGATTTTTTAAAAATTGTTATTAAAAAGGATGTTTACTAAATAAAAGATTTGTTTCCTAACTGTGATGCCATACCAATATTCTTTTTTAAACAAACTGTAAGGTAAAGTGATTCCAGCCTATGTCTGAGTGCCTTTTTTAGGAGTTTTAAGCATATTTCAGTGATTATCACAACATTGTTAGTTGCAATTAATTAGTTCAGTATAATTGTGACAAAAAATTCTCCTATCATCCCACGCTGATGTGGTTTGCGGCTATAATAATGCTCTGAATATCACATGGAGTTCCTTTAAAGTGAGTAAATGTGAAGTACAATATGGAGCCACCCCTTAATTGTTGTTGGCTTAAGTTGAC